AAAAAAAAAAAAAAAAAATGCAACTTTAAGAGCTTTCGTACTGGTTGAAAGAGATAGTCTACTGAGTATCACTGGTAAGCTGAGGGAGTGACGATGACGAGGACGATGTCGAAGATGAAGAACATTCCTGTTGCCTATCACGTAATGTCACAAAATCTAGAGCAGCCTGACCGGATTTCGCACTCGAGGTACCACAAAACGCATCATTAAGTCCAAAAGTGCCAAAAAACGAACCGCTGGGTGTTGGGGAAGTACCGCAGAAAATGTCTGCACTATCTGCTACATTGGGAGTAGTTTCAGACCGCGGAACCAAAGGAGGTGTTGGCTGTTTCTGCGCTATTTGTCGAAGCGCTTGAAGCACTTCCATTCGAAATTCCACTTTTTGCTCCGGTTCTAAACTCTGTATCGTCGGTAACAGCGATGAAAAGAATGCTCGGTCGTCATCATCCACGACAGTTCGTTCCTCCAGAATCATCCCGATCTTTTCCTCCAGAGTTTCCTGCTTGATCCAATCACAGTTGATCTCCACTGTCTGATCCAAAAATGGCTTCACGATGGTGTCCAGGATAAAATCATAACCACCTTCCCTACGACGTTTAGGCGAACGCATAATTTTACGTGGGGGGCCAATGTACGATGTATCCAAAAATGCCAGTAATCCGGCATGCATATACTCGCGCGTTCGCTTACCACGCGATTTTACCGGCTCCCCACTTTTACGCCTCACATCCCGAACATAGCAATCACGTATGTTCTTCCATTTATTTTGTATTTCCTTCTCTGAAAAAAAAAGAAAAAACGAACTCATTAACATAGTATATCCAAACAACGCTGAAAGCAAACGCCGTATTAAGCACTGCGAGCTTTATTACAATTCTCAGTCCCTTCAATCATTCCATAGTTCTATCCGGTGGTTGCCACTCACTGGCCCTTACTTATTTCATTCTTTCTATTCTCTGTCGTTCATTTTTATACCATAAATATATAAGCTTTCTTGGCACGCTTATGCGTATATAAGCAAATGTGCACATGCATACAAATCTCCCAAAAAATTACGGTACAAATCCCCAAAAGCTGCCAGGCCTCGTCGACACTTTCTGACGGTAGCAGAAAGTATCGAAGCATGAGAGCCTACGAATCCTGACAGCTTTAAACAAGCCAGGAAGAACGTCCCGCATCTTGTATGATTAGACCTTCGGAGCACGAATTAAGTATCAGTTTGACGAGCGACCGATGCGCACGCAAAATTGTAAAATATACGATTTACAATGGAAAATGCGGGACATTATGAACGAAGAAAAAAAGGCCCGTATGATGCTGGGTTCCAATCACTGGCGGATCCAGGGG